GGTACTTTAGGAAATCGTGAAGATAATTCAGTAATAAAGCAAGGCTCTTCTCATCAAGAGGTGTATAGGCCAACATTGCACCAATCCGTACAAATAATCTCAGTAGATGAGGTGCTCCATACACCTGGGACATGGGCGCATCAGGGTGATCTGCAAGGATCTCAGCATACTGTGGTCTCTCAAACTTGTGGAGCAGCTGAGTGCCCAACATGACGTTGAAGTATTCTTTTATACCTGCCACAACTTCATTCACAGCATACTCCTTATTATCGGTGTTTCCTCAAGATTTCTTATAATTTGCATAATCCTCCAGAATGGAATCCACATTCTTCTTAGCAGGAAGATAAAAGAGCTGTTTTTGTCGGGTAATTAAGTCCCAGTCATCAACAAGCCATGGTTTTAGTTCTTCAGGAATCTTTACTTTAACTTCAACTCTGTTCATAAATGTTTCCTCATTTTCAACAGTAGGATCTACCCGGGCCCTTTTCTTCCAAGAAGGCGGGTGTCTCATTGGTACTGCCACCATCTCCATTCCCAGGTGTTTTCTGTTTGTTCTTTTTTGTTTTCACTTCAACATTTTTCTGTTGCAGACCAGATGTCTTCTTTCCTGGTGCAGCCCTTCTCATCTTGCCCTCTGCATACTGCTTCTGATTGACTTTTTGAAGTTCTCGCTGTTTCTGCAGATTGGTGTCCACGTATTTGAGTACTCTGCTCTCTGGAACCCATTCATCCCGACTAGAGGTCAGGAGAGGGTGGTGTACTGAGGGAGCTCCTTCAGGAACAGGAAAAAGGGCTACAATATCCTCACGTGTCTTCAAAGTTTTTTCAGAGCGCCTGGGCCTCACAGCAATTTTTTTATTCCAACCACTGTAATGTATAAAATACTTCACTTTCTTATCCTTTATGGCAACTTTCACACACTTTGCTTCATAAAGAAGAGGTCCATGAAAGCACAGCACTCCTTCACCCTCCTGAAATTTAGGCTTCGGATCCTGCCTCGGCACCATTTATAAGTGATTCGCCGCCTCCTCCTTCTCCCACCACCCCCGACTACCGCCCCCTACTCTCTACTCCACCCAACTCCCTTTCCTGTAATATATTCTTTATCTCTATAAGTTCTGTTTATTTTTCAGTGTGTCTCTCTTTCTTTTTTTGAGAGACTTTTGGCTACAGGGTGTGTGCACCAAACAGGGCCATCGTGATGTGCACCAAACATGATGTGCTTTCATCATGAAGCAATTCACCTCCAGCCTCAGCCTGCCCAGCCAGCCAGCCAAGATCACTGGGGCTCCAGGGAAGTCTGAGTACTGGAACCCAGAACCTTTCCTCTGTGGATCCATTTTCTTTTTTTTCTCTTTGATTTCGATTTCAGTTTATTATGCCATTTAAATTTAGGTAAATTATG